CTGTTGTGGGGCCAGATAGGAATTTTTGACCTCTATCCTGATTGGCATTGGATGGGGGGATTTTTCGCCTATCCCACACTGGAAAAGGGTTTTGTTGGCATTTGATGGTGGTTTTTTATAATCGGTCACACTGGCAGGTAGTGCGGGAATAACTGGTTGTCACGGTGTCTCCCTTTTGTAATTATCATAAAGCAAACAGCGCGTCAGTTCTGACAGTTCTGCTAATCGTGTGATTACAGGGCCAAAGGCGGCTGATGCGCTGGACCACTTGCGGACCAAAGGTCATCAAATACGATGGCTAGAGGTCGGGGGTGTTTAATTGAGGCCTTCCAGGTTCCTCCGGTCGTTAGACAGTTGGAACTTGGGGCCTGGGACTCACCCATTGACTGATATGGAATTATTTGGCGTTATTTCCCCGCACTACCGCAGGCCCCCTCAATTTTTTAATTGGTTTATTTGGTGGCATTTAATTTCGTTTAATAAAGTGTGGCCCATATTTAAATCCAAAGAATGGTTGTCTTGCGTCTTCATTTCGGGGCCTGGGGGAGCAAATGTGCTAGTTTCTGGACTAATAAGAAAAAAAAAATTATGGATTGCCAAGGAAATATATCAGATTGAGCAAAATCCCCCAATTATCTGTTGTTCCTATGGAGTCTGTTCTTTGAACATGGAAATGCCTGCTGGTGTATATATAGGTGCTATGTTCCAAGCATGAGGAAACAGGCTGTTCCTTAATTATTTCCATCGCAGGATATCACAAAAATCATTGTAAAGGTAGATAATCCATATTAGGAAGATGCTGTTTCTCTGTTGATAAATGTATTCTATGCATTAAAAGTAAATTATTTTGAGCAGGATATCCTTCCCATGCCTTGCAAATTCCAAAGAAACGAAACGAAACAAAATAAAATGAAAAAGACAAAAACATGTGGCACCTTAAAGACTAACCATCCTATTTTTTGTGTGAGCTTTTGTGGACAAGTTCACTTCATTCCTATTTTCATATGGGGAAAAAATGAAATGCTGGATGCAATGCCAATACACATGTAAAACATACCCAAGGCTTTGGTGAGTGGTCTTCTTGTCAAGGATGAGCTGAAGATCATTAAGATGCATGTGAGTGGTCTCTGTTGTGGACTGTAACATCCCCATAGGAATGCACTGAAAACCATTTAATCCACATCTGCTGTTTTTCATTCTTAAATCGAGGCGCTGCTCTTAAGTCAAAGCATTAGTTCCCATAGGGACTAATGCAAAGCCGGTTAATCCGTATCTACCAATAGGGGACAATTTTTTCTTTTTCTTTTGATATGCATGTGAGTGGTCTCTGTTGTGGACTGTAACATCCCCATAGGAATGCACTGAAAACCATTTAATCCACATCTGCTGTTTTTCATTCTTAAATCGAGGCGCTGCTCTTAAGTCAAAGCATTAGTTCCCATAGGGACTAATGCAAAGCCGGTTAATCCGTATCTACCACTAGGGGGCAATTTTTTCTTTTTCTTTTGATTTAAGATGAACTTCCCTGGGAAGCTGGGCTGAGGGTGAAGGCCGGGTATGTTTGAATGGATGTTTTGCTGAGGTTTGCTTTATGTAGGGTAGGGACATTCTCAAGTTGAAGTACCACTGTACCTATATTCTGGTTGATTTAAGCTGGAGTCCTGGTCCTGAGCACTTTTATCTCTCTCATTCCAAATCTGATCTTCCATCTGCAGCTTTTGTTGCAGAACCTTGTGAAGTCACCTCGCCATCCTGGCCTTGACTTTGAAAGTTTCTGTCTGTTCTCCTTTGTATTCTTCTCCGGACATTCTCAAGTTGAAGTACCACTGTACCTATATTCTGGTTGATTTAAGCTGGAGTCCTGGTCCTGAGCACTTTTATCTCTCTCATTCCAAATCTGATCTTCCATCTGCAGCTTTTGTTGCAGAACCTTGTGAAGTCACCTCGCCATCCTGGCCTTGACTTTGAAAGTTTCTGTCTGTTCTCCTTTGTATTCTTCTCCTATGTGCATGTTGCAGAAACTGTGGGAGCGCGAGCTGTCACATCAACATGCAGTCAGACTGAACAGGAGTTCTGCCATTTTTGCTGTCCAGTTTGTTCTCTGAATATGAGTTTAAAGAAGAAAACTGAAATATCTCCAGCATTTGGGCTTTCTGTCAATTTTGAAGATGTTCATTTACTTTGTTATTGTTAATGTTGATTATGATGGTCTGATTAGAGATTGCTGCAGCTTGGAGACAGGAAGAAAGGACCTGAAATGGGAAAATGGGTTATGGGATCCTACGCTGATGGAAAAGCTTACTGAACAGGTTCCAGCAGCATGTTCTGATTATCTTCTGTAATACATAGTTCCCATTTATTGATTATATGACCTTCTAAAGAGGTGCTTCTGTTCTCCTGTACTCTCCTGAAGACATATGGGAGGATGTCCTTGGTTGATCATCCCAGTCAAGGCTCCTCTAGGTGGCCACCCTGAGGGAAGGGCCATAAATCCTCTACAAGAGGTAGGGCCTTCTTCATGGTGGCTCCAACTTTATGGAACCAACTTCTGGAGGAGCTCCATCTAGCCCCCTCCCTGTTGACATTTAGGAAGCAATTAAAGATGTTGCATTTCACAGAGGGTTTCCACACTGACCCTAGTTGACCACCTTGCCCCCTTTTTCCCCCTCCTCCCCCTCCTTTTCCACTGTCTGCTCTGGGTTTATATGATTAGTCAGTGTCATCTGTTTCTTAGGGTTATTCTTGCCTTTTCCACTGTCTGCTCTGGGTTTATATTAGTCGGTCATCTGTTTCTTAAGGTTATTGTTGCTGTTTTTAATGCTTCTACCTTTATTTTTGTTTTCTATTACATGTGTTGTAACTGCCCAGAGTAGTGCCTTGACACTAATGGGAGTGGGATACAAACAAACAAACATGCAAGCAAGCAAGCAAGCTTTGTTTTGGACTTGCCTCTGTTTTTACATTACCTCTGCTGAAGCTTATGGGTAGGTTTCAATGTTATAAGCTTTCCTCTACCTCTCACTTTACAAACTGGCACAAAGCTGTGCCTGAGTACATAGAGGGAGGCTGCACTGGAAAGCCCCATTCAAGCATTATCTCAGTTTTCCATCAATGTAATATTTTCTAATTATAAGAACTTAATTCAGCTGCAAGGGCATTCACATCAACTTAATTTCAGGCTGAAATTGTTACAGCACAATTAAAAGCATCATGTGCCTCTTTTAATTAAACAATGCTGTGAAATATTCAGCATTTTGAACCTGTCTCTGCCTGCCTGTTATCACTGAATTACTGTCCTTAATTTGTTTTTTTTCTGCCGAAAGATGGAATACACTTAAGAATTACTGGATTCTGCCCTGGCATTTTGTGGTCTCTTGTCAGCTCTTGTGAAACTAGATCATAGCTACCTTCAGTGTTTCTGACATGTCATGTATGCACAATCTCTTGTCTAGTCTGTCTTAGCAAATTTATGAAACTTATGAAGGAACAAGTGTACTTTAAAAAAAATTAATTTAGGCTCTGGTCACACCAGCAAAATATTTGCAAATTACTCCTCATGAATTTTGACCCCCTTTTTTTGGTTCAGACGACGCAAGGCCATTATGGGTTCTTTTGTTCCCCCACTGTGCTATCTCTATATCCAATCCAGCCCACTGGGAGGCTATTGCTATACAGTGGTGCCCCGCATAGCAACGTTAATCTGTTCCAGGATTAACTTTGCTATGTAGATTCGTCACTATGTGGGGGGGGGGAAACCCCATAGGAACACATTAAAACGGGTTTAATGCATTCCTATTGGGGCGAAAACTCACCGCTAGGCGGGTAATCCTCGATCTGGCCACCATTTTCGCTACCCAGTAAGCGAGGGCAGGGCGCGAAAACACTGCGGGCAGCCATTTTGCGGATGAGCCGGCCATTTTGGAACCACCAATCAGCTGTTTAAAAAAACATTGCAATGCGAAGATCGGTAAGCAAAACACTTACCGATCATCGCAATGCAATGTTTTCCCTATGAAAACATCGCAATGCAATCGCTTAAGCAATCGCAAAAAACGCATCACTATGCAAATTCGTCATTAAACGGTGCGCTCGTTAAGCGAGGCACGACTGTATTTATTCTGTGTTTCATTGTGCAGTACAACTGACATCCCATTGAGTGTGCAGTCCAAAATTGATTTATTTCCTGTGGATCTGGCATGCGGTCCCACCTCCCTCACCCACTACTGTTTGACTCGCCATAATTTTTAAAATTAATTTTCAAATGGAAATGTCAGCATGTTAGTATATTTCTGTCAAATACATAGCATCAGTCCCCCTACTGTCTTTTGGGTTCTCCTCCACAGAAGGTAATGAAGCATGGAAATAGAAAGAAATGGCCCAGATCAGGATGTGGCCAGCAAGGTTGTTTTGCCAACGCATTGAAGTACCCATACAAAAGAAAAAGAAAAAGAAAGGGAGGGGGGGCAAAGAAAGGCGCAACACAAGGAAGGGGATATGTCCTGCTTGAGGGGTGTCTTGCGAGGAATCTGTCCCAGAAAACAGCAGGGAGCCATTTTATTTACCCGGCGGCCATTTTGAAACCACCGATCAGCTGGAGGAAAATCGTCGTTTTGCAAAGAATTGGTTCCCGAAGCAGGGAACCGATCATCGCAAAGTGAAAAACCCCCATTCAGACCATTGTTTTGCAATCACAATTGCGATCGCAAAAAGATCGTCGTAAAGTGGTTTCGTTGTAATGGGGGGCAATCGTAATGCGAGGCACCACTGTACATGAACATGGTACATACCTTGAATTGATGTACATATTAAAACTGGAAGGAAAAAGATGAAGGAAAAACTGAAACACCACACACTACAAGTTTTGGATTTGGTGAGAGTTGTGCCACAGATTTTATCTTGCCCAAAAGAGTTGGTTTCCTGCCCTGCTTTTGTGAAGTAATTGAATACTAGCTATTCTTCTTAGAAATTATTCAACCAACAGATCTTCTGTGCCTTACTAGGTGGTGGTCTATGACTATGTTTGGGAAGGCCATGCCAAGAAGTCCAGCAGTAACTTCCATCATCAAGATGAAATCATAAAATCTGCAGGAAATCCAGGAGCCATCACTGTTCACGTGGTAATATACACAGTTCACCTCAGTGGCTTCCAGGAAGTTTACAGGCAATTTCTTAGACTGCCCAGTGGTGCTATTGTTGAGGTAAGTCTAAAGATCTGTCATAAAGTAATGGGCAAATGCTAACAAGCTTTTCAAGCATGTATTGAAGATCATACTGCATTGGGGATTCTGAACTCTATTTCAAACAAACAAATCTAAAATTCATGAATGCATATGAAAATCACAGTTGGAAAATCAGGTTGTTGGTTTTTTGTTTGTTTTGTTATACTATGACTCCTAGGAACTCCCAGTCAACTCCTTAGAATCCTTGGTGGCCAAGGATTCTAAGGAATTCTAGGAATTAGAATCCGAAAAAGTAACTTCTTCTTTGAAGTTTTTGCAAACATAACACCATATATTTGATAAGAATGTTAAGGTAGAGAATTGATGTTCTCCCTTCATTTTCATATCATATAATTTTTGCAGTGATAGAGAAAGAACTATTAGATACTTAGCTATATGCAATACATTGCTCAGTTAATTCTTTTTAAAAATAACTAAGGCTTAATTATTTTATATTTCACTTTTAACAAGGGAAAACCTCACTCCTTTTGCAGTATAACTAGAACTATTACAGTTACAGAGGTGTGGCCTTATTTGTTAGGTATAGTTTATAATACGTACAACTTAGTGGCGTGCAACTTTCTGATGTGCATGTTTTAATGACTAAAAATAGATTTCATACCTTTTGAATAATGGAAAAGAAACAGCTACCTTTAAACATTATAATTACAATTGTAACCAGCTATTTTGGGGGGCATTGGTTCTTGCCATTCTTACTTTTGAAAATGATTTCACAAACTAGGCAGAGATGAGGTGAAGATATTGCTCCATTTTTCATTTCAACTAGAATTTATTCTGTTTGTATTTCCAAGCACCAAACACAAACAAAAATAAAATTTTGCAATCATAAGTTTGTGCAAGCACACCCGAAAAAAGTTTGAGAAATGTTTGCATTTTAAAGATGTTGTGAAATGTATTCAGACATGCTGTAATCAGTGAAAAGCAACACATGCTTTTTGAAAATTTGTGCCACTAGCAACTAGCCAATGGTTATCCTAAGCTTTGCTAGAAATCTTTTCTAGAGACCAAAACTGAAAATACTTACCGTGTCTAATTAGAAATAAGGATTACTTTGTTGAACAGGATCTGTTCCCTATGTAAATGAATATACTAGGATTGTGAAGAAACCTCACAAAGAGTCCGACTACACCATCAAATACCTTGGGATTAGCTCTGCTTAAAGAATGAATTACAGTAATTTGAAGTAATTTTTCCTGCCCACATGATGCAAGAGCTGAATCAAATCCATCCAGTCCTTTTTTGCTCACAAGCAGAGGGAGGGCTAATGGTCATCACTCTATCTGTGGTAAGTGTACCTACCACAGGTAAATAGGGCCAGAGGACAAGGTAAATGCAGGGGCTCTCAGTTAGGAGGAAGAGCTCCAGGCATTTTTGCCCACTGTCTCCTCTTCCAATAAGTGAATCTCTTTCCCCTGTTCTGTCCCCTGTTAATTGTCTTGCATGACAATGGGTGGATTTTTTTAGCACTTTAAATGCATTTGGAGGCCATCCCCTTAGTACTATTATTGCTGACTATATACCGCTGTTTTTCAAAAGAGTGATAACACGGAACGTGCTGATTTTTATCTTGGCATCTGCGGACTTGAGTGGATTTCTTATTAAGAAGGCAAAGATAAATTATTGTAGCTCAATGAGAAATCAGTTTCTTATTAGAGGACAAGGAAAGCTTTAAATTGTATGGAAACAGGGTTGTATTTTCTCAACCGGACGATTGTTATCTAGGCAAAACCAAAAAGCAAACCCCCAAAGATTGAGCTACTCTAAACAGAGAGAAGATGAAAGGGTGACCCTCCTCCGCCACCATTGCTTGAAAGGAAGCAAGTGGTAATAAGATCAGACAGTTTAGGTAACTAGCCTATTACTTCGTGAAACCATTTACATCCACCCATATGCTGTGAATGATGCTAAAGCTCTCGTGTACATCTTGAAAAGTGAATAAAATCATCTGGGCTTATTTGGAATGCAAGATCAGATACAGTATGCTGAGTGACACTTAAAAAGAATGAAGCGGTAACTGTAGGTTATTTTCTGAAACAGTCTTGACACTAATGCTAAATTATAGCTTGGAATTATCTAGCATTTCTACCTTTATGAGGAAAGGCTTTTTACATATTTAACATAATTCTAGGGAAAATTTACTGGCATTACGCATAAAGATATGTACACTGTAACCAAAGGGCATGTATATTCCCCACTAGAACACTTTCTGCAGTATTATTGCCATTTGGTGTCACTTCTTAACAAATATAAAATATGATTGGTAAACAAACTAGACTCTAGATTTAAGCTGACAGCTGTTCCTTCTGAAGTAACATGCAGATATTTAATCTTAGGAACACCACGGCTGTTGGAGAAAAGTCTCCTTCTATTAAGTGAAAGGACGCATGCCTTCCTGCATGTTTCTTGGATTTGTTTGTGATACGTTTCCTGGGGAAAGGAGCAAAATATCTAATGTTTTATTCTGAAAGTAGCTCCCTTACTGTGTTGCCCTGAGCACCTTAAATATCACCCCCACCACAGCCGCCACTGCTATCCTACAGATCTAACTTCTATTGGGACACAGAAGCCTCTTCTCTATCCTGGCCTCACTTATGATTTACCCCATTTAGGGGTAATTGTTTAGGTTGCCCTCTCTGGAAAGTTTTTGGCAGCTTGTAGAAGCATCAGTTGGTTAACTCCAGAACTAGACTCACCTAATCAACTTCAGTGCTGTGTAGTTTGCAGGGGAATCCTGCCTTCTTGCAAAGCCTGTGAATTGGGTTGTGCATCATTTGAGTAAATGTGACCTTCAAGAAAATTGTTCTTTTTTCCATACACACAACTTCCCCTGTTCATATGGAATCTTGGACATAGTATTTAGCTTGAAAGGTGTGTGGACTGATGAAAGAAGGGCTGCCCTTTCGCACTATTTTTGGCCAAGACATGGTGTAAAGCCATATTCTGCTCCCTAATGCTATGGAACCAGTATACCCATGTGACAAATTTGCAACAGGATGGCCTTTAATGTTGTGGTCACCCAACTGCTGAAGACAACATCTAATTTGGAAGACAACATCACCCACATGCAGGTACATGGCTACTTCTCAATAGTGTGGATCAGGGTTAAGTGCACAGTTGCACAGTTTGCATTGCAAGATCTGTACATTTGGCACAGATAGAAATATAACTCTTATTTCTCTGCTTCTTATGCTTGTTCATTCTCCAACACACCTGTGCCCCATGATGCAAGCCGGTGAGGCATCTGACACTGGCACTGTGAGATAAGACTCCCACTCACATGGACCAAAGGCTACTGATGCTCCAAGATATATATTCAACCTGCCAGAACTAGATTTATTTTGTACACATACTCCTATATCTAAAAATGGGTACTTTAATGCTGTGCTTGGGATGTATGGCTGAAATATTGTAGAAGTTGCAATGACAGAAGGTCCATTGCATCAGTGGCATTTTGGCGAGTTGACTCCTCTGTAGGTTCCATTGATTCAAAGGGACTAGCACTAGTTATGACTTGCTACTGGATTTCAGGCACTGAGTGGTTGCAAGATGAAACTGGTTTCATTCTTTTGTGCAAAGGTTCTTGAGTAGACTGGCTGGAACCTTTCTCCTGGAAAACAATTCTCTCCTTGACATCTTATTTTCCTCATTAAATTGTGGTAATTATATATCAGTCCCATGTGTTTCTTTACTAAGAAGGAGGAAGAGGAAGATTTTTTTAAATGTGGATAATTTCATATCTAATTGCAACTACAGAACGAGGCTCATAAACAAATATGGAGTTCATATCTAGAGTTTGTGTTTTTAATGTTTCTTTGCAATATTTATTTAGCAGATCTTATTGCTGATTCAGGTAAGAAACATTTAGACAAAGATCAAAGATAAAAAGCAAAGCAATATTAGTTCTGTTAACCTAAACAAAATTATAACCTTTTCAAAAAGTACCTTGCAGCTACACAGATTGACAAAATGCATCAATTATAATTTTTGCTCAGTTCTATAATTACAGGATGAAGTGAACTTTTGGACAAAGTTGATTAATTAAAATGTATTGCCATTGAGTCACTTTCAGAAACAATTACTTGGGCTTCAATTAATTTAATATCCAGACTAAGTCCAATATGTTCACATATATTTGATACGTGTTTATATTTATACATGTTACCATTTATTGTCTGCAAATTTGCTACAATATATACAGTGTGGCATAATTATTGTTATAATTAATATAGTTTAATTATTATACTAATATCAACTAAATATGACTATGTGACCCATGTATTTACATATATACATATTTATATAAGAAAATAGTACACTTATTGAAATTAATGAGGCTGAAAAGTATTTAACTTAACTGTGTTATACCCTAGGTTTTCATTATTCATGATGCCACAGAATTATAGAGACAACCTTATAAACTCAAAGAAAATAAAGTGCAATAAACAAAAGTTATGTAAAAACTTAGTCTTGTTCCTGTGAGATATCCAGATTAGAGATGGGTTCGAGTTAAGTCACGCCTCTTTGTATGAAGAGGCGGCATGTGTTTCCTCCCCTTGCCTCCTGGACAGCTGGCCCACTCCCAAGCCTCCGCAAATCACCCAAGGCCATCATCCCTCGCTGGATGCCCCCTTGCCTCCTGGACAGCTGGCCCACTCTCAAGCCTCTGCAAATCACCCAAGGCCATCCTCCCTCACTGGATGCCCAGTCTAGGAAGGAGCTTGAGCTCCCCTTCCCCATGTCATCTGGCAGCCAACCAGGGGGGAGGGAACACATAGCACTACAGCTTCCACGTGGGGATTTTCATACAAAGGGTCACAATTTAATTCATGCCCAACTCTAATCCAAGTTATTTGATTGTGTGGAAAGCAGGAGCAGCTGGTGGACTGGGGCAGGGTAGTCACCCAAAGACTTTGAGAAAGTGCCGTCTGTTAGTTAGGGTCCCACCTTGTCAACAATGCACCTTTCACTCCCAAGCAAGTGCAGCTCTGATCAATGGGGGAAGGAATGCTTGAACCCCTATCGCTGTTGTGTGATTGTCCTAATCTGGACCAGGGTTCTGCAGTTTACATGAGAGCAAAACAGGAAATGTATCTAACATAAAGGGATGGAAGGAAAACTTTAGCCCAGGGATTCTTATAAGAGAAGTTGTAGGACTTCTTTATTTGCTGAATCTGGTTTTAGCTATGACTATTTGGGAAATTTATTCTGTTTGCTAAGTCACCAACCAGCAGTTCATTTCTTCTACCAAGACAACAGATTAGCAAGTGCTTATTTTTCAGTAGGGCTACTTTTTATGCCTTGGACTGGCCTCATCCATGAGAGATCATTTCAATTTCACTTTTGACATCACATGGGCAAGAAGGGTACCAATTACATTTGTCTGGAGTTGCCACATCATCCCTTCTTTAGCAGGGCTTGTAGCTCATCAGGGAAATGTGAAATGACAAAGGATTGTGGCAGTTGTACTGTACTCCAGATATGAATAGCCTATCTGCAATATTTTGTATGTATCAACGTCTCCATCAAAGCAATAGCTTTTTCCACTTAAAAGGTTTTGTGGAGTTCCTTTTCTCTATGCTTCCTTTCTTACGGACGGCAAGGAAAAAGATTAGTTGAGCACACGAAGCTCAATGCCATTCAGCTGCATTTATCTTAGAACTGGAAAAGCATAGGTGAATTCACCTTTCAAATGTGCTTGAGTCTTTGTTTACAATGGTGTATGTTATTATGAGTATGTTATTAGAATTTCTTTGCAGTGGTGCTCTCTTTATAGTGTTTTGGCAGGGCTGTTAAAAAAATTGTTACAAAGAACAGGAGTGGAATTCAACCATGAAACCCAAATTGTACATTGCTCTGAAACAGGGTTATTGCCATGACAGTACCAAATTTCACACACAGAAAGAGCTGCTAAGCTGTAATTTAAATAAATAAATGCCCCTCGTCTGCTTACTTTTGCATCTTTTCACCCAGTATTGCACTGGACTGGGCTACAGCCAATGCATCTGAATATTCTGTTTTTCAGACATTCGGTGACATTAGTGGAATAAATTTCGTATACAATGAAGTGAGCACAGTCATTCAGGAGCACGTAAATGAAATGGATAATACACTAGGAGCTTCTTCAGAGATCAAGCTAAGGGAGAGGAAGAAGAATACAGTAAACTAGAAAGGTATAATTTTCAGTGGTTGCAGCCATCTTGTGACGATGAAGCAGTGGGAACAATTTAAGTGACAGTGCTAAGCAAAACCTATTTATGCAGGAAGCCCCCCATTTTGATACATATGGGGGGGGGAACTGAATAAAATCCAAAAAGGTTTCTTCTTTTATAGTGCCTGCTAGAGCTGTGATCCAGTACACATCTTCTTGCAAATAATCCTGTATATTAGAACAGTGTAAAAGATGAAATCAGCAATATGATCTATATCCTTCCTGTTATCATGGTGATGTGTTTGCCAAGAAAAGAAAAAGGGTCTGTACTGTTTTTGTTTCCCATAAATACATTTTCAGTTATACTGGAGGTTTTTTTGGGGGGAGGCGCCCTCAGATGACTGCACAAAATGGCACTTTTCACTCTGAGCACATTGAAACCGATGACTATGTGTGGCACTAACAAGTGAGCAAAGCAAAACATTTCAGTGTGAAACAGTGGAATCTTATGCACCATGGCTGGAAACCTGTAGTCATCCAGATTAGTGGTTCACAACCTTGGGAAACCCAGATGTTCTTGGACCTCAATTCCCAGAAGCCCTCACCATCAGCTGTGCTGGCCAGGGTTTCTGGGAGTTGCAGTCCAAGAACACTTGGTAACAGGTTGGTAACTACTGATCTAGATGCTGGTGAACTCTCTGGTCAATGGTAAAGCATGATGGGAGTAGTAATTCATCAACAACTGGATGGCCTAGCATTCCCTCCACTTGATATACATGCTCCTGTGGAAGTAAATTCTACTGACTCCACTTACATCTGAGAGGATGAAGTAAAGGACTTGAATTAGCTTTTATAATAGCGTTTCCAATTCTTTCCTTTCTCATTCTGGGCTTTCAAATTTTTCACAAATGTAAGGATGAATATCTCCACTTATCTTGGTCAGGAACAAAAAGTTGAAAGACTTTCTTGTTTGCTAGGATTATGTTCTTCTCATTTCAGGACTTTTTGATTAAACATGACAAATGTGTATTTGCAAAAGTATTTATGTGTGTCATGAATAAAACACTGTGTTTTGCTAAAGAAATGCTGTATTTTGTCCAAATTATGAAAATGCCACTTTTTCAGCCAAGAAAAAAATAGATGTTCCCTGCACAAAACAACAGGCTTTGCTTATGTTGGTGCTTACAAAAAGGCATGGATCTTTCTTTTTTGTATAGAATCAAAAATCTCACAGCAATTGGAAGATATTTCATTGTGTCAGGACACCATTTTTCAGTGAAGATGAGAACGATTGAGGGTATCTGTGACATCCTTATCTATATGATTCATCTGTAATCTATGGTTTTTGCATTTGCAAACATCAAGACCAAGGGAAGGTTAAGCCTTATCTCATAAAACTATGTTTAATTGTGATCCCTCAGACAGCAGGGGCCAAAGTCTAAGTAAGACCAGAGGATCTAAGACCCTATTCTGCCCATAAGAGAGGGGCAGATACAGTAACATTTTGCAGTGGGACTGAAACTGCTTCAGGACCAGATCACAATGGAAACAAATACAAGAGCAATCCAGGAAATGGGCCCACAAACTGGGTTTTATTTAATCCAGCTAACCAGACTAACCAGGTTATATCATGATTCAAAGCTAGGAAAGAAAACAGTTTTTAAGTAACATAATGCATTCAGGAACTGCAGCAGTTGCTGATATCCTCACTAGGGCTTTACAACCTTGCCCATAAATAACATGTGGAGAACTTGTGGAAGACTTACCATCAATCCACTGTCCCCCCACCCCAAAGACCTTGCTCTGTAGCTGCCAAGGCTTTCACAACAGGAGGATAACAAACCATGATGCTGGAGCTCTACAAAGTGTCATTTGCTCTGCTCCCAATCATTGGTGTGAGATGATTCTGAGTATATTCCCACTCCCCTACTGTTGCTCAAGTCATTTTGATGGCCCCACTCATGTACAAACTCATTGTTTGAACCAGCACTAGTTGGGAACAGGTGGAGTTGAAAACCCAGAATCTCAAGCCATCACATACAAAAATGAGTAGAACTTCTCTAACACTGTTCATTTTGAAATTTGTCTCCCAATTTGAAGATTCAAGACAGTATAATAATACCTTGTGGTATACAGTAATAATACCCAGAGCTCTAAGAACTCACAATCCTAGACTGGTCAGAAGAGACTGCCTTCTACAACAGAATGAGATGGGCAGCTACTGGAAATTTTATTTTCAAGTCCTGCGTGTCAACCACCCTTACTTCCCAGACTTAAGCTTGGAAATTAGTTAGTTTTTCTCACTTTTTAGTACTGTACAGGGAGTGCTTCCAGACAGTATTTTTATTATGCCATTGCCTTGCCTCATTTACAGAACTTTACGTGCATCCAGCAACATCACCTCAAAGTCCTCCCATATTTTGCTATTGCTTCTTCCACTTTTTTCTTGATACACCCACAAAGAAGACTCGATAAAAATATTAAAGTTGATCAAATGTTGAATTCATGATTGACTGTAAAAGAGCATTTTATTTAAGAATCGCAACAAGATAATAAACAAATTGCAATGTATATACCCCAAAGTGCTATTCAAATGGTACGTAACGAGCAATGATATGAGACGATCACTGTCTAAATGCCTTTCCGTGTGTAAAGTCTAGCATTTTATATATATCTCTAACATGTCATGCTTACTGCTAATTTTCAGTCATTGGTACTGAATTGTTAGCAGTTTTTAGCTTGTAGTTGGTTAGCTATTTGAATTAATATGTATGTGTTCTGAAGTTTAAAATGGTTTTCCTATTATTTTAATTCCTTATATTGGCATTTTGTTTTATTCTTTCAGTGCAAGCCACCTTGAGACATCCCTGATCTCGACCAATACAGAAAGTTATGAGGGGTGGTGGTGGTTTGTGTTTTTTTAAGTTGTTGTTGTTGTTGTTGTTGTTATTATTATTGTGTTGATTACATGGGCTTTCTGTTTTTGAATTAATTATATTGGCTCTTAGGACCGAAGAATGTACTTCAAACTTATTTCAGTTTCCACAGTGTTCTAGTGATATTCCTATGCCTCCTAACAGAACACAGCATGATTTTCCTCTGTTTTTCCTTGGAAATAAAATGCTAAGCATTTACTTTAAGCACTATACAAAATCAAGAAAACTCTATGCTACCACTGTTACTAAAACTACCAATACTGCCGCTTACTCCTGCTGCTTCTGCTACCAGTACCCCATTCAGTGCTTTCAAACATGACCTGATTGACTTTGGATTGATTCAAAGATAGTATACTTTGCTTTGCGTGATGAACTCAAGTCAAAATTTGGAAATCTAAGGGTTTTTGCTTCCTGGTGAACATTACTGGAAATGTAAAAAAAGGATATAACTTTTTTTAAAAAAATCTTTTCATTCAGTTTCCACATATAATCATTGCTTTTTAAAAAAGATTTTATACTTATGGATGTGCATTTGGATTCGGAAATATTCAGAATCCATCAAATAATGCCATAATTGGATAGTTCCAAATAGACCAAATCTGAATTTGATCGTTCCAAAAATCTACAATAATATTCAGAGGCCCATTTACTCCTAGAGTTTAGAAAAGAAAAGGCTACGTTTCTGCCTGTTGGAGAAAGATGTGAAAATGAAATCTATTTCTTAGGCACCCTACAATGATTTATTGAGAAATGAAACTTAAAGACACGCTGGCACCTTGGATAATGGGGCAGAGGATTCATTGTCTCCTGATTGGGTTTGCCATGGGTTTCCTAGAAGAGAGGGGCTGGGCTGGGGACAAAACCTATAAATGATGTCTCTCTACACCAATGAAATCTAAAAGCAGACACAGACACCAGAGGGTATTTTTTTTCACATTAGTTTTTTCTAGTTGAAAGGTAGGTATACTGTATACTGTATATCCTCTAATATTTGCTCTTAGGATATGCTGTTGTGCAAACCTGCACTACATGTTTTCTCTGTGTCATTTTCTGAACCCTCAACTTCCATTTACATTCACTTCATCTTATTGTATATTGTTTACATGATATAATTAAGGATAAGATTTAGTATTGACAGATTCATAGATTAATACATTAGAAATCAACAGGGAAATATTATGTTAGGTTTAGGCCCCTTTGGGGTATATCACATAGAGGAGTAAAATTTTGTTCTATATTGACAAATATATTGAATTAATAGAAGTTGTACCTGTATATGTGTGTCAGTGATTTTCATTGGAATGGGTTGTGTTCTGCCGTAGCAGAATCAGATACTGTTTTTCTTTGGGTAGGTAGAGTCTGCAGATAGTAAGAAAAGTAGGTGTAGTTGAAGAAGTAAGCACTTGAGGAGTTTCTACAGGGAGGAGTGGGAGAAGGAGATGAAAAAGACAGTTTACAACTGTCTTGCTGCCTCATTCAGCATTGACACCATGAAAGAGCAGCAGGCAGTAGTACAGAATATATTTTTTAAAAAAAGCACATGCTGCTTATATGTCACTCCATGGCACTTAAAGCACTCGCTGGATGGTTTACAATTTAATTATGCAGGCTACACATTGCCTCCCCCCTCCAGCAAGCTGAGTTTACCAACCTTGGAAAGACAGAAGGCTGAGTGAACCTCAAGCCCCAACTACCTGGATTGAAGCCAGGTTGTGAGCAGCATTTTGGCCACAGTACAGCAGCTTCCTCACTGTGCCATGTGGCTCCTCTGTGTCTCTGTCCCTGCCAAGGAGGTAGCAGAAACGTTTCTGGTTCAAGACGGGTAAGATATGAGTGGATCTCAGACATGTTCCAGTGATGTCTTTGTGCAATCCAGCCAGGGCAAAGGGGCCAAAAAAAGATGGTGAAGGAAGGCACTTTTCTCACAAAGAGCTGATGCACCAGAGAAGGACAAGAATCAGACTGACACTGTCAGCATCGGCAGCTGCAGTGCTGCTGCTTTTGTGGTTGCGAAAAAGATTTACGAAGAGCACCAGACGTTGCCTTCCCTATCTATATAATGCAGCTCCATCACATTCAAGG